CTCCTTGAATTTGATTCGCTGGTAATGGTTTCAAAGTATTCAAAGTATTCCAACTTTTACCGAAAAACTATTCACAAAGTATTCTAATCGAAAATACTCCTTGAATTTGATTCGCTGGTAATGGTTTCAAAGTATTCAAAGTATTCCAACTTTTACAACTTTTACCGGATTCTCGAAAATATTCCTTAATTTTGATTGGTACTCAAAACCTGATTCATTGGTAATGGTTTGAAAAAACTCGTATTTGAAAAAACTCAATGATGAAAAAACTCAAATCTTCAAATCTGATTCGTTGGTAATGGTTTGGAAAAACTCGTATTTAAAAAAACTCAATAACAAAAAAACTTAAATCCTCAAATCTGATTCATTGGTAATGGTTTAAAAAAACTCGTATTTGAAAAAACTCAATAACGAAAAAACTTAAATCCTCAAATCTGATTCAACGGTAATGGTTTGACAAATATAGAATTTGTATTACATTAAATAATTATATATTTTAAAGAATCAAAATGCGATTCGTATCGACGACTGGGAGGAATTTGAATACAGCGTATGAAAATGGGTAAGGGACCTAGTCAAAAATTCGAATCAAAATTTTGATTTGCTTACACTAAATGTTAAAAAAAACACAATTCAACACAACCGACCATAAGCAATTGTGAGGCTAGCGGCAGCTGAAAAAAGAGCGTCGCAGAGACAAAACCTAGTGAACTTATCTAATCAGTTTTTCAAACTGATTAGATTTTTTATTATGTAATTTAAAATGTCTCAAAGTAATTCTGATTCTGAAACTTATTCAGTAAGAAATCAGGATTTAATTAGAAAATTAAAAAAACTTATTGACAGTAGAATAGGATCAGTTAAATTAACTCATGTACGTGGTCATCAAGGTAATTATAATAATGAACAAGCAGACAAGTTATCTAAAACAGGTTCTTTAAAAGAAGAAATTATTGAAAAAGACGAGAAGGTTAATTATCGAAATACTATTGATTTTTATTTTAGATAATTTTTATTATTTATTTATTTTTATTTTGTTTATTATTTTTTTTATTGTTAAATAAATATTTTATAAAAAAAAGCTCGAAAATGAGATCTCGATTAGAAGTGATTTGTGTGAAACACGAATCACTTATCATCGAATCGAGGC